TTGACCACCAGGTGTCTCTAGCACATCAAAATCTAAAGCTGCGTCCCAAATGGCACACTATGCACCATGTAATTATGCACTTACACACTCAACAGGATAGTACATTTAAGTAGTGTCGTCCCAAATGGCACAATAATGTTTTTTTTACTAAGTGGAAATTCAAACCGTTTCCCTAATGACGCTTGCCAAATCAGTGAAATAAACGAATAATGAATTATCAAATAATACCTGCCGTGAGTATAACCGCATTTACCATTGGGAGGCGCTATAATCACTCTCGTAGGAGAATTTTTCTTTCATCATCCAAATTAAATAAAGTTATCCAACATGTGCGTCCAATAGCTCCGGCCCTTCCACTACATAAGCAAATCTGGGGTCGTTGAGTGCGTGAAGTGTCCATCATTCCACACTTCATTTACTGGCTGAATGAGTGCATCATCCGGGTAATTAAAGTGCACTTATTATTTTTAGAGTTTTCAGTGTGAATGCACTACTTACACTATTTATACTACAAAACGGCGTAAAATAGTGCATAAGTATACAATTTGGGACACAGCTTAAAATTCTGCGACTGACTCTTTCTACTCTATACACTAGGGTTGTCATGATACTGGAATTAGGGACCAATTGATACTGAAATTTTAAACGCGTCCATTTCCCGCTAACATTTGATCACGTACCTAAACACTGTTGATTTGCCATTGTGTTCTCATGCTCAACAGAAAAGACTGTGATTGGCCGTGAAGGTCATCAGTTGACTGAACTCACCGCTGTTTACAGAAAGTAACCACAGATACAGGGACACTGAAGCGTTTTAAAGCAGCGAAGATCAGATGGTTTGTCTATAAGCAAACAAATCGCGACTTTAAAGCACTCCATTGATTAGTACCAAATTCCAGTATCGTGGCTTTCCTAATATGCGCATTGTTTTGCATTCGGTTCCGGTGTCATCACTTCAGAATGAAAGCTGGATCGACATGAAAACTTTAAGGCGATTAATACGTTTGAATTAAAGTACATTGTACATAAAATTCATGGAATTACACATACGTCAATGAATATTAATTTGTTCATTAATTATGAATGTTCTATAGCCTTTAGGAAGCCATTATAATTATGTTTGTGAAATATCAAATTAAGCATAACACTATTAATTTATCTTTCATTTTGTCATTCGTTCTTGGCCAGAGAAGAAATGGTCATGCCTAACTGAGCCTCGTTTCTCCCAAGTTTTTTTGTTTTTTTTTTGCCTTTGCTTTTGTCAATTGGTGAAGTTTTGTTCCTCACCACTGTCGCCACAGGCTTGCTTGGTTTAGGACTTGTGGAGCTGCGCATTGATGGATTTGCTCTTCAGTGTTTGGATTTTCAGCAGTGAAATTTAAACCACACTGAGCTGAACTGAAAACTGGACTGACACAGTTTCAATTTACTAGAACCTCTATGTTAACCTGATTTGACACAATGTACATTGTAAAAGAGCTATAGAAATAAGGATGATTTGAAATTCTATTAATTTGTTTAAATAGATATTCATGCACTTTAAATTTAGTTTTAGCCATTTTTTGCATGTCTCGTTTATTGTTATTAGGCTATAATATTGTCCGATCATCCTGCTGGTGCTTGCCAGCTGCAATTATCAATTAAATTTTTTATTCCATTTCATATATAAATATTCATTAATAAAAATATCACAATCACAAATTTTCTTGATATATCATGACATAATACTAAGCCTTTATACCTCACACCAAGTTTTTCTAATAATGAGAACGCATGAGCTAAAAAATTACTCGACCAATCTGGTAAATGAAAACAAATGATGTTTTGTTACCAAAGTTTGAAAAGAGCACTTTAAAATTTTATAATGATTTTTTTTATAATAAGATCATTTTCTTATCATAAGGCAAGATTGCATTTAGTAATTAACCTAATTAATCAGGGGCAGGGTTTCTGCAGCTTTCACCAAGTTAAATTTAAGACATTTTTATGATGAATAAAAATTTTTAAAGGATTATTTTTCAATTGCCCCATTAAAAATTATTAAAATTTAATCTATTTAATAATACAATAATTATAATAATTTAGTTTGAATTCTTAAAATGAATTTCCAAAAACATCTATTCACAAACCCTACATAGCTGCAATTACTTCAGTTTAATAATTTAATAATTAAAATATATAGGCCAGGTCAGTATCCTCAGCAATAAATTAATGGAAAACTTTTAAACAAATGTCACTGTAAGGAAAGTAAGTAAATACTTTTTAAAATAAAAAGTTAAAAGTTGAATTGAGATGGATTGTTGGTAGTTGTATGAGTGTTAATGGCCAGATCCATGAAAAAAAACGAAAATCAAGACCTGCTAATAAAAGATTTAAGACCTACAACACAATGTTTCAATAGATTTAAGACTTTAAGTCCTAAAATTTAGCATTCGAGAGTTAAGACATTTTAAGATTTTTAATGACCCCACAAATACCCTGGGGGTAATATTCAATACTGGTCAAAAGTTCTAGAAAGAAAAGTAAAAAATAAAAAAAGGATCTTCTGCGGAACAAGTCTGCATCAGGTTGACCCAAAGTACTATTTTCACAATTTAAAATAGCTGTTTTCTGTCTGAATATATTTTAAAATGTAATTTAATCCTGTCATTTAAAAGCTGAATTTTTACCATAATTACTCCACTCACACGATCCTTCAATAACTTGCCATTCAAGAAATGTCAAACAAGTCAAATATGCTTAACCATATTGCTAATTATATGCAAGTGTGAACTTGTGATTTTGGGGGGGAAAATATGCAGCAACCAAAAAATGTTGATGTCATGTGAACAAAGCACATACAGTGCTCAGCATATAATTGAGTACACCCCATTTAGAAAATGAATCTTTTTTTTTATCCATTTCTCAGTGGATATAGGCAATGTATTTTGGTGCATTTAAACAAAATGTATCTATTAAACATATATTTATTAAAATAATACTTTAGTCACCAAACATGTTTAGAAACCGAACAATAATACAATTAAATTCAAGCAAAATATTGCAAAAAAAGAAAAAGAAAAAAACTTACAAAATTTCAACAATTTTTTTTTTTTTTTTTTGCTTCTCTTGATTTTCCTTCTTTTTTATATTTGTATTTATTTATTTATTTTTACATACATTTAAGTGTACTAGTTTTTGGACCGTTATCGTTAGTTATTTTATTAGAGAAGCTCCAGATTTGGTTTCAGTACTGACTAATATAATTTATATGCACAAATATAATATTGTATAGCTTCCTATTAAAATATGAAATTAAAAGACAGATTTGTGAGGGGTGTATATGCTGAGCACTGTGCATATACAAAGATCATGTTTACCTGTATGATACCAAAGCACAAGTTCACAAAGAAATCATGCAAATAAATATACTGCAGAAAACTAGACAGTTGTTCCTGAAGGTGTCCCAGCAGAGTAACGACAGGCAAATTATCTAATTTAACCATGAACATATTCAACTAAAATCAGACAATAAGACTTCACATTTTGTTCTCATTCATTTATCAACTTAGACTTTTTCTTCAGTAGAACATTAATGAAGATTTTTAGCAAAAGCTGTAATCCTTAATGATTCACAAACTGCAAGTAAGCCGCAACCAGCACTTTGAGAGTCAAAATAAAAATGAAAAAAAAAAAAAACTCCATACACAGGATAAACTAAATTATTACCTGTAGTTACTGACTACAGTAGTCATATGAAGCATGACAACCAGCCTTTGCAAGGAATTAAACATTACTTACAGAATGACTTTAAACCACAACACTGGCAAACACTAGGCTATACTGACTGCAGAGCTTCCTGTCACATACTGAAGAACTTGGGCTCAAACTCTTATATATGCCGGCTGTTCTACAGTGAACACAACAGGACGCTTGTGTTTCAGACAAGTCTTCAGTTTCTTGAACATACCAATAGTTTTGCTTCATACTATGCTACGAATTCGTTTTGTTTTGACTGCATTTGTTTGTTTGTTTGACTTTCAATTTACAAAATGCTGATAAACATTGACTTGCTTTGTATGATTCACCAGAACCAGTTTGGCTAAAAATATTTTATATTGTTCAACAAAAAAGAAGAAATCAATATCTCATTTTACCTGAGAGAAAGTACAACAAATGTGTAGATAAACTATCCCTTTAACGTGGCAGAGCAAATTAATTCACAAGAATTCACTTGGCCTGAAACCTAGCCAAAACTCTGACATCGAAACTGTTTCAAATGTTACTTAATTGCCGGTTCCTTTCACTTGTAGCCAGTGTACATCTATAAATCAGCCTATTAGTTTAATGTAACGTGGCGGTTTTAAATTTGACCGACTGGAATGCTCCACATCCATATGGCGGTCGTCCGCTGCATCTATCTATCCCGTTCTTCAAAGCACAACTGACTTACACCAACAACAACAGACGAGAACAGTGCGATAATGTTTTATCTGTCTATTAGTATGCACACAAGGCTGTGGTTAAGGTGATGTCCCGATAACTTCATGTTTGCATTTCTCAGACTGAGCGCAGGCAGGCTAACGGTTTACCCTCCCCTTTACTTCACACAGAAACCAGCAGACTGCTCGCAAGATAAACACAACATAGCCTAACCGATACGTTTCGACAAGCCACAACACACAAACCCGAGTCTCGAACGCGAACGGGGTTTATAAAATCTGACAGATATGTAAATTGGAAAATATGAGGGATTATATGCGTTCAGGGGCCTAAAGCAAAGCGCTCATTCAGCTAGCCAGCCACACACAAACACAGTCCCGACGAGCTAAACTCATTCACAAACATACAGCGTTTGATACTCCTTTAAGAACATTCATAAATTCGAACATGCGATGTTTGCGTCACCGAGTTCGTCCGTCGCGAAGATTGAACGGTAGCTCCAAAATAACGTAAAACAGCCGTCCGGTATAACGCATTAAAGATAAATCCTTTTTTCCACCGGTTCACTTTTACATTACCTGTCCACATCAGTCGTCAAGACCCTCGGGTTAAAATGCTATCGACCACATTTTTCTTGCACTCCGCCGTTTCTGTCCATCCTTTTTTTTTGATACAATTTACGAGGATACTTTGTTACCTACTCAACGCAGCGAGAGAGAAGCTGCGTGTTGGTTTATTTGGGAATCACCCTCCCCTCCTCTAGCTCCCTTTCTCTCTCCCTCTACTTGCCGTTTTAAGTGGGAGGTATAATGGTCCTTAGCACATTCGTGTCTCAAATCCTAGTAAGCAAACTACCTATAAATATTTTAAACACATTTTTGGGGACATCCTACGCGCTGATGGTGTCTACTCATTCCAAAAATGCGAACCAGCTTCAAGGTCTCAGCGAATCCTTTTAACGAATCGACTACAAGTTAACTACTAGTTTACAAGCCCAGTCCGAATCTTTCAAAGCTTTCGACTCATTGAACTCTCCATGAAAAGGCAAAGAGAGCTAGAATAGAACCGCCTATACTGATAATAAATGATTTTATTTTAAGGCTACAGTGCAAAATACTTAAACATATAGTCTACTTTTGACCATCCATATAAAGGCGAAATGTTACTAATACAATGTTTTATAACAATAACCTAATTAATTAATTAATGTACTTAATATTTAGTTTTACGAAAATTTAGGCTATTATTTAATTAGTGTGAAAATAGGTGTGAAAAGCCAATGTTAATTTGGGGTTACAAAGGTTTAAATACACCATAATTCCAACAGAGATAAAGGCCTTTTTTTCATTTTTTTTTTTAATTTTTTTTTTCTGCATTTATGCAACAAAATATTTCAATAATAGAGCTAATAGTACATTAAGGTCGCAAGACCAGGATACATATATATATATATATATATATATATATATATATATATATATATATATATATATATATATATATATATATATAACATTCAAAAATAGACTATCAATAGTGCAGCTTTTCTAATAGTCAAGCAAGTCGCCAAACTGAAACAGTCCTACCTCATTTTTGTTGTGCCTTCAGCAAATATTTGGTACAGAGTTTGTCACATGAGTGCTTAGAATATATATACTGTTATCTGGCAGTTTCATTGCCGTGAATGCATCTTTTCATCGGCGGTTCGTCTTTCTGTTCCCCACGTGGCAGTCTCTCCTCGTCAGCTATTGCATTATATCTTTGCAATTGTGTGCTAATGATGAGCTCGGTTTGTCTTTTATATATGCAAATGAGCAGCGTTTTAGTTTAGTTAAAGCAGCTCTACACATGTTTTAGACATTTTTTTTAACTAGAAAGACCAGCCATATAGCCTATGTATTTTGAGACCAGCCTATGTATTTCGAGACCAGCCATATGTATTTTAATTATAGTTTGTTTGCACTGTGGTATAGATTAGGTCATTATATTTGTATTAATTATATAATTTAAAAAATGAAATAATAAATCGAGATGTACATTAATGAGACAGTTTTATATGTGTTAGAATAGTTTGAATCATAAGACTAAATAATAAATTTGTGTTAGAATAACTGCACCCCTGGTTATTTATTATGGTTTAAGCAGTATGACATATTTTATTGTTAAAGGGATAATTCACCACAAAATTAAATAAAAAAATAATTATTTATTCACAAACAATTATTGTTTTCCTATTTTTATATTTCTTATTTTTTTAACTCAAAATAAGACTTAATCTAAAGTGAGGACTATTAATGCATTATAAAGCCTTCATAAATGACAATTAAAAGCTTAGTTCTATTCTAAATGGGACGAAACACAAACAACTCTATTTATTTGTTACACAAATGTAACTGTACTTCAAATAAAAACGAAATATTTGCAACCTAAAATAAAAATGTAAAATAAAATTACTGTACAGTTTAAACATTGCATCCTATTGTTTAATTATCACCTTGATTCACCACCCTGAATGCATCAGTTAAATTTTTTAATCAAAAACCTCACCAAATCGCTTTCAAAAAAACACCAGCTGACAATAGCCTATCACTGGCAATCCTGTACATTAAGGGGTACTGACATGGTCCTGTTTCAAAAGAGTTGTTGTCTGACCTTGAAAAGTGTGATTTTATTTCGGAGCAACTCAACATTGATCTCTCTAGTGAAGTAACTGTCACTCCTTGGGTGAAGTGTCATCAAAAATGTTGTTTGCTTTTGATTTGGTTGAGGATGCACCAGTCTTTGGAAAGATTGTTCAAATTTTGATCAAGGATGGAGTTTATTTTTTGGTCTCTCATGGAATTAGTTTGTTGAACATATCCATGCTTTCAGGGTTTTTGCTTAAAAGCACAGCCTTCTTCTAAAAAAAATATATAAATAAATAAAAAAATTAAAATAAATAAATAAACAACAATTGTGTTACTACAAGTCATTTGATTTTCAAATGGCATATGGCATTGACAGTTCAATTTACATTGTTTTGGGCTGTTACTTGTAAAGTAATTTTATTAGTTGCCTGGTGTTCCATGTTGGAATAAAATTTTGATAGAGTAATGTAGTGAGATGTGTTTTCTTCACACTGAATTTATTATTTTGAAATTAAAATTATTATTTTTTTAGAAGCCTTAATCTACTTTGCCAGTTAAAGTAACATTTCTTAAATAGTTCTGTCAATATTTAAGTGATGTAATATTTGATTCCCATAAGCTTGAATAGATTTATTTTTATTTTTTTTTAGAAGGTCAACTCCAGAACAGTGTAGGATTTTTAACTCTGCCAAAGTTTTCAACAAAATTCCTCCTAGCTCTGTAGCAGTGTTGTTGTTATCTGTATTGGTGTTAATGCTTCACTCTTATAGTGTTAGTATTTGACACTGCGTTGGTGTTAAAAGAGGCAACACTTTTGAAAGTGTTGAATTGACATTTTGCAGGTGTTTCCCATATATACACTTTTAAAGTGTTGAATTTAACTCTGTTGGTGTTAATTTACGGATTTCAAATTTGCTGTGTTAAGTTTGTTTAGAAACCAAAAGACTTAGCCATTGTATTTGTTTTTTCTACTATGGATATCAGTGGCTATTGGTCTCCTGCTTTCTACAATGTCTGTGTGAGTTCAATGTACAAAAGAAACTTGAAAACAGTTACTACTGCACTGTAAAACCCAAATTTAAGGTAAATCAAACCATTTTTGGAAACTGATTGCAACAAACCATTTAAGTTAAAAACTAATCCTAATGAGTTCTATAAACTTAATCCATTTGAGTAAACAAAGCAATTTGAGCACAGTAAAACCCAATAAGTTAAACTCCAACTGTTTGTGTAAACCGATTGCAACATCTTTTATTTGAATTAAAAAAGAATCTTTATGAGTACTGTGAACACTCCATTTAAGTTGAAGTACAATATATTTATTTAACTTATTACCTTCAACACTGAGTTCAAATCTCTTGATGAGTAATTTTGTGGATAATATACCTTTAAAGCCAGCTGTTTGTTTTCAAGACATCAGATGTTCTCAGTGTTTTATATTAATATGATAAGAATTTAATGTCCCTTTAGGATAAATTTATTGTAGTAAGTTTTGATGTAATGAGTTTAATGTTTGACAGGGGCAAAACAAATTCCTCACCTACAGTATAATAAATGTTGAGATAACCAAGATAACAGAACAAAACAGTTAGTGTTTTAATCCATTTAACCATTGTGAATGAGTGAATGAATAAACAAAGGAATGTTTTTTGCCTCTTCCCAAAGTATGCCAAAATCAGGGGTCAAAGATAATTCTGGACTACATCAATATAATTTGTAAAAAGTGTGGCCTGCAGTTTGCATTTGTCTCTTTGGAATTATTGTTGACTTCAAATGTATTAAAGGGTTCAATACCCCCTCCCCCAAAACCTGATTTTATTCTGATTGGTGGTTGAATGCTCCGGTTATACCTATAATGTCCAAATTGCTACTTTAATGTTGGTTAGTGTCAGGATTGGCAATTAACAGGGACTAAAGCTAATTTAGCTTTATTACCAGTGTCACAACTTCAGTTTCATATCGAAATGAATAGAAATGATATTTTAGGATAGATCTACTGATTTTCCATTACTATTTACCATTACAGAATGTTAACATCCAATCATTTTCCTTCAGCTTAGACCCTTATTTATCAGGCCAACCGCAAACCTATCCAGCAAATGTTTTACAAGGCGGATACCCTTCCAGCTGCAACCCAGTACTGGGAAACATCCACACACACACACACACTCATACACTACAGCCAATTGAGTTTATTCAGTTCACCTACACCACATGTCTTTGAACTGTGGGGGGAAACCGGAGCACCTGGAGAAACCCACGTCAACATGAAGAGAACATGCAAACTCCACACAGAAATGCCAACTGACCCAGCCGGGACTCAAACCAGTGACCTTCTTGCTGTGAGGCGATAGAGCTAACCACTGAGCCAACATGTCACCAGTATATTAACAGTTTTTGTAAAAATACCGTGTCTCATCAAATATGTTCTATCTGTTACTGTGGAAAAAGCCTTGTTCACAGTTATATGCAAACTCATATTAGACTAAAGTCATGTACTTCTTTAACCCTTTGATGCACTACATGGGTCTAAAGTTACCAGTTTATTTTTTCTATATCTATTTTATAGCTTGTGCATTAAAGAGTTAAATAACTAAAGTAAAAAAAAAATTAAATTTTCATATGTTAAATGGTTTAAGTTTATTATCATTAGTCAGATTGTGACATTTTTTTTTCCATGTAGTTTATAAAGCTGATCATATCCATATCCTAATTATGAGTTAAATTAAATAGTTTGAGTTATTGTGATTGAAGCAGGGTCGTATGAGGTACTTGTTTGATCAGTGTGTTACCTATGGAAGACTGCAGGGGCAGATCGCAGTGCAGAGCTACAGAGGACAAGGACGTTCAGCAACAGAATAAATAGTAAATAAAAAATGTATTAATAAATACATTTTTCCAAAGATGGGTTGCAGCTGGAAGAGCATCCACTGCGTAAAAACGTGCTGGATAAGTTGGCAGTTCATTCCGCTGTGGCGACCCCGGATTAATAAAGGTACTCAGCCAAAAAGAAAATGAATGAATGAAAAAATTAGTTTATTGTGATATATGTAATGACATTGAATGTATTTGTGTTGTCTGTTTTTTTGCCGACATAATTGTGTGGTGAGGCCAAAGATAAATTTACACATGTGGATAATAAAGAAGCTAAAGTAAATATTACTAATTAATATTTTATTAATATTACTAACGATTCCGCAGCACTGTCTGCTGCTGGTAAAGCACAGGCAGCAGAGGTAAACACCTCTTATTAACCCACATCAATATTGAACTATCCCTCATAATATGAACATGACACTGAATTTAGAAATAATAATACCTGTATC